TATAAGAACATAAAAGAAGCCAATGCTGGATCAGGCCAGTGGCCCATCCAGTCCAACACTCTGTCACACAGTGGCCAAAAATACCAGGTGCCCTCAGGAGGACCAGCAGTGGGGCCAGGACACTAGAAGACCTCCCACTGTTCCCCCCCCCCCCAAAGCACCAAGAATACAGAGCATCACTTGCCCCAGACCGAGAGTTCCTATCTATATCTTGTGGCTAATAGCCACCAATGGACCTCAGCTCCATATAAGAACATAAGAGAAGCCAATGTTGGATCAGGCCAATGGCCAATCCAGCCCAACGCGCTGTCACACAGTGGCCAGAAATACCAGGTGCCATCAGGAGGTCCAGCAGTGGGGCCAGGACACCAGAAGCCCTCCCACTGTTGCCCCCCCCCAAGCACCAAGAATACAGAGCATCTCTTGCCCCAGACCGAGAGTTCCTATCTATACCTGAAGTTCCAACAGATATTCAAGAAGGTACCTCAGCAACTGACCGGGATCATCAGATCTTGGAAACTAAGCAGGGCCGACCCTGGTTAGCACCTGCATATGGGACGCCACTGAGGAAGTCAGACCAGGGTCGATTCGCAAAGGCAATGACAAACCACCTCTGCACACCTCTTGCCATGGAAACCCCTTGAGGGGTTGCCGTAAATCGGCTTATTTATTTACTATTTATTTATTAATTTCTATTTGTATCCCTGCCTTGCCTGCACGGGCAAGCTCAGGGTGGCGCACAACAGTTTAAAATGCAATAAAACACAAAGAAATACAATATTATGAACTTGCAAATTACAAAGAGATGACATAAAGTGCGGTAGAATCCAGATGGCGAATTTCGATGAGGCGGTCCAATGAAGCTAGGGCGGTGTCCAAAGTTGTTCTGGATGCCAGTCCAATTGTTAATAGCTCATTCACCAGGGGCAGCTCCTAATCAAAGGCCTGGTGGAAGAGCTCCGTTTTACAGGCCCCCCTCCACTCCTCCACTTGCACCTGGCTGGATGACCTTGGGCAAGCCGTAGTTCTGACAAGAGCTGTTCTTGAAAAAAGAGCAGTTTCTGTCAGAGCTCTCTCAGCCCCCCCTACCTCACAGGGCGTCTGTTGTGGGGAGGGGAAGGGGAAGGAGTTTGTAAGCTGCTCTGAGACACCTTTGGGTAGTGAAGGGCAGGGTATACAATCACTTCTTCTTAATCTTCCTGCTTCTTAGTTTGGTGTGATAAAAAAGCTCCTCTTGATAGGGACTAGGTGTTTGGTGGAGCGGTTAAAGTGTGCGGACTTTAATCTGGGAGAATCGGGTTTGATTGCCCACCCCTCCACTTGCACCTGGCTGGATGACCTTAGGCAATCCGTGGTTCTGGCACAGCTGTCCTTGAAACAGAGCAGTTCCTGTCAAGAGCTCTCTCAGCCCCGCCTGCCTCACAGGGTGTCTGTTGTGGGTAGGGGAAGAGAAAGGAGTTTCTAAGCCGCTCTGAGACTCCTTCGGGTAGTGAAGGGCGGGGTATAAATCCAATCTCTTCTTCTTCTTCTTCTAGATGAACAGCTCCTGGCAGTGTTGCAACAAGGACAGGGAATACAGTGAAACTGCCCCCACATTGTGCCCACAGACAATGTGGTTACGGAAGTTCAACAGAGCCAAGAGTAAGGGGGTGATTTTGCAGCCCCCAACCCCACCCCACCTGCACTCAATGGCTGTTTTGCCCACAAGGCCCTGCAATGCCTTTTTGAGTATTTGCAGAGGGTTGCCGTGGGAATGGGGGGGTGGGAATCTGCCACTGCAAATGCTTTCCACTTACAGAGCCGAAGGATCCAACCCGGCACCTCCGAAATCGTTTCTGGATTATACAGAGTAGAGGTCGGAAACCAAAAAGACCGCAAAAGGGAGTTTAAAAAAAGAATTCTACCTGCTTTTCCGCTTCCCGCGCCAACGGCATTACACCGTGAGCCACGGGAAGCCTCGAAGACCGTTATGTAACTCAACTTTTCCTGAACCGCAGAAGTGTTTCCTGGCTGTTGTTGATCAGCTGTTCGCTATGTGCTTATACGCAGAAAGGAGGGGCGGCATCTCAGGAAGCGAGGCCTCCGCGAGAGTAAGGCTTTTTGACAGCCAGGATGGTCAAGCGGGAACCGTCTCTCCAGGAGCCCGAGTGAAGTCAACCTCAGTTGTCGCCACCGCCGTTAATTCTGCCCAGCGCTAGGAGGTGGGAACTGTGGCTCGGCATCAACGGATGTAGGGACAGTCTATCTGAGTGAGTGTCCTACTCCCAACGGGTTAACACATTTCAGAAATTGTCAAACAACCCACGCATGTACTCTATTAATGGTGGGAGAAGAGAAAGGGAAGGAGGTGTAGGGGATATTAATAGATAGAGAGTTAACAGAGGGAAACCCACGGCGGGGAGGGCGGGATACAAATCTAAGAAATAATAAATAAATAAGGGGGTGGAAGGAAAAGGGTGGATCCTGCAGAATGAGGGCCTTCCTGGAAAGGAAACCGGAAACCCAGCCCTCGGTGCTTTTAGAATAACCGTGACACTGCTCTTTCTCCTGAAAGATAAGAGCTAGAATTTGGCTATTCCCCCCTCCCCAAATAATGGAATCTGGGAGGGATTTTTTTGGGGGGGAAGGGGGGGGGGCTGTGGCTCAGTGGCAGAGCATCTGCTTGGCATGCAGAAGGTCCCAGGGTTCAATCTCCGGCATCTCCAGTGTGAGAAAGGGAGAAAAGTACCTCTTTCTCTACTGGCTCCATCCCAGGCATAATCTTATAAACCTCGATCATGTCACCCCTCAGCCGTTGTTTCTCCGAGCTAAAGAGCCCCGAGTGCTTTAACCTTTCTTCACAGGGAAGGCGTTCCAACCCTTTTATCATTCTAGTTGCCCTTTTCTGCACTTTTCCCAATGCTATTGCCCCTGTAAATCTAGATGTGTTGAGACAGTCGTACATGTTTTGTTGCACTGTCACTTTTATGTAAATATATGCTCTAAATATCTAAACTCTATATTGCCGAACATGATGGGAGTTGTTTTTTTCAGGTTCCCACAAAGTTTACAAACTTCTGAATGATTCCTCTGTTGAAGTAACTGAGAAAGTGGCTAAGTTCCTCCAATCCGCCATGCTGCTGCGCCGAGAAAAAGTACAGTTGTAACCTATGATTTTATTCAATTTATTTGTAATACAGTGTCCTAGTTGTATATTTTTTATAATGACTTTGGTCATAGAATCATAGAATGTTAGAGTTGGAAGGGACCTTGCAGATCATCTAGTCCAACCCCCTGAACTTTGTGTGTGTGTGTGTATGTATGTATTTGTATGTATGTATGTATGTATGTACGTACGTACACACACACACACACACACACTCGGGGGGGAATTTCGGGGGGAATCGCAGTTTCTCCGGGTGGGGTACGGGGGGCGGGGCACATGACAAAGCCCCGCCCCCCGCTTCCGGCCGCCCCGCTTCCGGCCCTCATTTAGCCAGGAGGAGGCAGGAGAAGAGGGAGGGTAAGTTGCTTCCTCCCTGCCTCTCCCCACCCCTGCCTGCCTGGGGCCAGGGAGGGCCTTTACGGGGCTTCCTTGCACTCCCACCAGCCTTGTAGGTCCACCACCGGGCCCCTCACGGGACTGTTGGGGGCAGGGTGTGTGGCCTTATGACACACTTCCGGTGATGTCAGGGTGTGCGGCATATGCTAATGAGTTCCCCTAGCTCTTTTTCTACGAAACGACCCCTGTGTATATATATATATGTGTGTATGTGTGTGTGTACACACACTTGTAATGTATATGAATTTTATTATGTGTTTTGTATGCACTGAATTTGTGTTTTATTGTATTTTAACTTTTAATGTTAGCCACCCTGAGCCCGCTTCGGGGGGGAAGGGCTGGATACAAATTGAGTCAAATAAATAAATAATAAGCAAAAGGTCAGGCGGTCGGGTGATGTGAAAGACCTCTGGCGGAGACCCCGGAGAGCCACTGCCGGTGCGAGGAGGCAACCCTGACCTTGGTGGACTCAGGGTCGAGAGTCAGTATAAGGCAGCCGCACGTGTGTTCGTATGAAGTGAGGTTCAACTCTGCGCAGTACAAGTGGGGACTTGCGACAAAATGTGGCCTACTGTTGTGTCCTCCTGGCGCAGACCCGGGGATGAGGAAAGGCAGGATATGTTTTAATAAACAAAAAATATCTAATGAAGAAAAGAAAGTTCAACACCTATTTTAACTTCTTTTTCTTGCTGTCAAGCTGCAGCCGACTTATCTCATGTGACAAGCCTTTATTGGCATACGTGGACACATACAAGCAGCCAACTTAGGGTGACCCTGTGTGGTTTTTTCAAACTGAGAGGAAGTCTGGTGGAGCGGTTAAAGTGCGCGGACTCTAATCTGGGAGAAGCAGGTTCGATTCCCCACTCCTCCACTTGCACCTGCTGATGTGACCTTGGGTCAGTCACAAGCTCTGGCACAGCTGTCCTTGAAAAAGAGCAGTTTCTGTCAGAGCTCTCTCAGCCTCACCTACCTCACAGGGTGTCTGTTGTGGGGAGGGGAAGGGAAAGGAGTTTGTAAGCCGCTCTGAGACTCCTTTGGGTAGTGAAGGGCAGGGTATAAATCCAGTCTCCTCCTCCTCCTCCTCTTCTTCTTCTTCTTCAAGGCCAGGGACGTTCAGAGGTGACTTGCCATTGCCTGCCTCTGCATAGCGACCCCGGACTTCCTTGGTGGTCTCCCATTGAAGTACGAATCAAAGCCGACCCTGCCTAGCTTTCGAGATCCGATCGGGCTAGCCTGGGCCATCCAGGTCAGGGCAGACGACAGAAGTGGTTTGCCATCGCCTGCCTCTGCGTAGCGACCCTGGACTTCCTCGGTGGTCTCCCTTCCAAGCCCCGTCAACTATCTAAAAACGTCTGGTGGGTAGTAGGAAAGGTGTCAGTGGGTGCCACGTTGGGGACCCCTCTTCTAAATAAATAAATTAAATGGGCGTGTAAAGTCTAGCAAAACAAGAATCTCAAACCTGGGGTTGGGGCAGCAGCTCCAGCCTGAATTTCAGCCTCTTCTGTCGCAGGACACGAACCCTCAGGACCCAAAAAGCCGTGCTCCTGGGCTGGCAACGGGAGCTCCTTGCTGTCCTCGGGGCAACTCATTCCAGTCAGGTCTTGGCACATCTGCCTGAAGCGCTTCTTGTGATGAGGGCGCACAAACATAGAGAACCCTGGGAAAGGGGAAGAAGAGTGATGCCAAAATGTCATTGAGCCAGCTCGCTCTAGGCCAGGGAGTTTAATGAAATCCAGCCTTCGTTTCCTAGAAGTCAGAGAAACCCAGTTTCTAAGACGTCTGTATCGAGTACAGAGCCCCTCTGCTCTCTCTAGCCAGGTCTGGCTGATTTTTAAAGCAGGGAAGAAGGGACCACAGGTATCCATATAGGAAATACAACAAACAAGCAAACAATATTACAGGTCCATCGTTCTCAATGAGCATCCGGATATAAACTCATTTCGCCCCAACCTTCCTCAGGAGTGATCCTGTTCTACTGAAAGGTGTCAGCCTCTTGCTACAGTTCAGTGTTCTGTTAGGAGCAACCCAACTCTTAACTTCTTCTTTATGTTTTTACAAATAATCTGGTTCCATTTCAAGTGTTTGGAAAGGAGCAAGACAGTCTTGTCTTCTTTTAAATAGGTGCAAAAGCCTTCTATATTAAGCTATTCACAAAACCAAACAAGGACCCACGGTAATTAGGAAAACCAACATACAACAAGTTCCATGCACAGATGATTATAACATATCATAAATAATTTTATATTTTTTGAAAAATATTTTTACAATAATTTCTACATATATAATAAATTATCTTAATCAAAAATATCAAAAATCATCTCCATGAATCTCAAAAGCTATTTGTACAACCTTTAATAACAGTCCTCCTCTGTTAAATAAAAGTTTCAAAAGGGAGGACTCCTTAAAGTCTCTTTATAACATGTGCTCGTGTCTTTATTTACGATTTATTATATATGTAGAAATTATTGTAAAAATATTTTTCAAAAAATATAAAATTATTTATGATATGTTATAATCATCTGTGCACGGTACTTGTGGTATGTTGGTTTTTCTACATTAAGCTGGCTTAAGAGCTCTCCATGAACACTGTATATACTTATAGTAGTAGCAACCAGTCCTTCCCCCCCCCCCACCTGGCTGCAAGAGGCACAGCAAAAAAATACTAGCAGAAGGGATCCCCAGCTTCATGTGCAGTTCTCTCCCAACAGGTGGTTGAGCTTTTTATAACACTGTGGTGGCTCTGAAACGGAACTGGGAAGAGCCGTGCCTCAGTAGCAGAGCACCCGCTTGGCATACAGAAGGTCCCGGGTTCAATCCCCAGCACCTCCAGTGGAAAGGACCAGGTAGTAGCGGATGTAAAAATCCTCCCCAGGGGCAGTGTTCCCTCTAAGCTGAGTTAGCGTGAGCTAGCTCACCGTTTTTTTAGCCTCCGGCTCACACATTCCTGTCTTCGCTCGGGAAGGGGCGGCTCCAGAGCAGACTAATTTATGCCGCAGCCAGATCGCTCGCTCACAACTTTAAGGCCAGTGGTTCACAAAGTAGAACTTTTGCTCACGACACTCCATGGCTCAGAGGGAGCATGGCTCTTGAGGCTCAGGAGGGCTGCTGCCAGCCAGCGCAGAAACGACCAGGAGTCTGACTCAGTACAAGGCGACTTCATGCGCTTATGTGAAGACAGGCAGAGAGAGATCTCTTTCTCCTTGTCTAAAGGTATCTGGCATTTTGTTTACTTTATACCCTGCTGTTCTCCTCAGTTGGGAACCCAAAGCAGCTCACGTAGTTCTCCTCTCTCATAAGAACATAAGAGAGAAGCCAGTGTTGGATCGGGCCAGTGGCCCATCCAGTCCAACACTCTGTGACACACAGTGGCCAAAAACACCAGGTGCCATCAGGAGGTCTAGCAGGCCAGGACACTAGAAGCCCTCCCACTGTTGACCCCCACCCCCCCAAGCACCAAGAAGACAGAGCATCCCTTGCCCCAGACAGAGAGTTCCGATCTATACCTTGTGGCCAATAGCCACTGATGGACCTCTGCTCCATATGCTTATCTAATTCCCTTTTGAAGCCGTCCACCACCTCCTTGTGGCAGTGAATTCCATGTATGAATCACTCTTTGGGTGAAGAAGGACCTTCTTTTATCCATTTTATCCATTCTAACCCGACTTCTTTCTCTACAAAGGTGTGCCAAGCCATCACATAAGCCCCGTTAATGGACAGGTGTTTATGAAAACACGAGCCCAACGAAGACCGTGGCTCATTGGGAGAGCATCTGCTAGGCATGCTGGATGTCCCAGGGATCGGGTAAAACGGATCAGGTTGTACTTGATGCAAAAGGCCTCTCTCCCTGAGACCCTGGAGAGCGGCTGTCAGTCGGCGTAGACAATACTGACCTTGATAGCTTCATGTACTAAATGATTCACAAAGTTACTTAGATAAATTGTTAGGGACTGTGATCTATACTACTGTGTTTAGCTTACTGAAACTAGGATCCTACCGTGTAATTTCTGTTATCATTTAATGTGTCATATGAATACTTCTGCTTTGCTTCAATTCTTTCTGGTGGTTCCACCCTAATACATTGGTTAATCACGGCTGGATCGATCACTTCCCTGGAAGAGATATTGCAGGGGCTGAGTCACAGTTCTCTCTGAACTCTCTCAGCCCCACCTACCTTGCAAGGTGCCAGTTGTGGGGAGAGGAAGGGAAGGCGATTGTAAGCCGCTTTGAGACACCTTAAGGTAGAGAAAAGTGGGGTGAAGAAGAAGAAGAGGAGGAGGAGGAGGAGGAGAAGGCTGGATCTATACCCCGTCCTTCACTACCTGAAGGAGTCTCAGAGCGGCTTACAATCTGCTTTCCCTTCCCCTCCCCACAACAGACACCCTGGGAGGTAGGTGGGGCTTTCAAGAACAGTTCTGACAGAACTGTGGCTTGCCCAAGGCCATCCAGCAGTCGCAAGTGGAGGAGTGGGGGAATCAAACCTGGTTCTCCGAGATCAGAGTCCGCGCACTTAACCACTACACCAAACTGGCTCCTACCTACGCTCCCAGCGTGAGGCCAGAACTCATGCTAGAGCTGTAATAACAGGTGGTCTGGCCTTTACAGCTGTGAGAGAAAACCATAGTATCTCTCCCTCGCTGGGCGACTGCCATAAGGAGGAGGAGAGGAAGGTGGAAAACCGTGGGAAGCTGCAATGGCAAGCAGAGGCCAGGGACGACCTTTGCAAGCAGAGAATTTATTTATTTATACATTCAACTTTATATCCCGCTCGAACCCCTTGTCAGTGGGTCTCTGAGCGGCTTACAATTCAGTGCTAGTCACCATTTTACTACCCTAACTATGGCCACATACAGCTGAGGCTGCGCTTGAGCGCGGCTTCTCCTGGGTGATTTGGCAAGAATGAACACCGGACACGGAGAGATTTCATCCTGTCCTCGTCACGGAAGGCAGCCAGGAACAGATTAACTCTTGTATTCCCAGGGGTCATTTCGTAGAAAAAGAGGTGCAGGAGCTCATTAGCATAACTCATCAGCATACTTCATTTGCATATGCCACACCCCCTGACGTCACCGGAAGCAACACCCACCGCTCAGGCTCCACTGGGCTGTTTTGGATTGCTAGCTATGGGGGGGGGGGGGAAGTAACGACTATTTTTTTTGGGAGAGCTTGTACCTGAATAAAACTTGGTCTTAAAGGTGCCACTGGGCTGTTTTGGACTGGGGGGCCGGGGAGGGCTCTGCAGCTTACCTGGCTGATTCTTGCTCTGACTGAGGGCTGCTGGGAGCAGGGGGCGGGACTTGTTGCATCTGCCCGCCCCTTGGGCTCTTTACTGCTGGAGCTCCGCTCCTGTGCGCTCCTGCAGGAAATGACCCGTGTATTCCTCTTTGAAAGCTGGGCTTCTAAAAACTTCCCAATAACAGGGAGTGAGAAGCAATGCTCCCTCTAAGCTGCGGAGTCTTGTGAGCAAAAATTCTACTTGTGTGAGCTACTGGCATTCAAGTTGTGAGCCAGTGATTTGGCTGCTGAATAAATTAGTTTGCTCTGGAGCCATCCTTTCTGAGCTGAGACGAAAATGGGTGAACCGAGGGCTAAAAAAACCTGTGAGCTAGCTCTCACTCACTCAGCTTAGGGGGAACACTGGTGAGAAGGGCTCCTCCCCTGCTCTGACGGACGTTAACTTCAGCATCTTGGAACTTGTATGAACTCTTAAGAAAGCAGTGACCCTAACGACGTGCTTGCCGGTACAGAGAGCAGATCCAAAGCAGGAATAAGGCCGGGTCACTCTCCAAACAACCCCATGGCACTCCGAGCGCATGAATCAGTGCTCTGGAATGAATCAATCCCAAAGTGCCCGGACAGCTATTTGGTCAGAAGGGAAATTCAGAATATGTAAGGTTTTTTCCTCCAACTAGAAGGGGCGTTTAGAAATGGAATGTCCCCCAAACAGTGAATGGTGCGTAGGTGGGCGAGAAGATCTTTATGCCCCCCCCGCCCGCCACCGTCTGCTCAAAGACTTAGTTGGAGCACCACCCTATCAGAGGAATGCTTTGGCAAAGGCTTCCTGGTTAATTTTGCAGCGATTCCTGGAATCAGGTGGAAGAACAACAAAGAACCGGGAGAGAGCCGGATGATTTAACGGGAGCGCTTCCGACAGAAAGGAACTCTTGACGGAAACTCCCCCGGATTTGTGCTGGCAGAAAATCACGCCGACTCACTGGCATCTGGGGAGGAAGTTGTGTCCCCGCTCAGACTCGAGTCAGAATGAGGAAGTGACCAGTTTTGCTCTGTTATACACAGTCCCTAATTAGTAAGGGTGAGGCAGCAGTGATGAGGGAACCGGAATAGCCTGGATGAGCCAGCAACAACATCCAAAGGGGAATGACATTAGAGAAGCAACATTGCTGGGCTTGCCCCGCCCCCAGGGCCCCGCCCCTCTCGACGCCGGGAGGCTACAATTGCCAAGCCACACCTGCAATGCTCCCTCTAAGCTGTGGAGTCTTGTGAGCAACAATTCTACTTTGTGAGCTGCTGACATTCAAGTTGTGAGCGAGTGATTTGGCTGCTGCATACATTAGTCTGCTCCGGAGCCACCCTTCCTGACCCGAGACAAAAATCTGTGAGCTGGAGGCTAAAAAATTGCAAGCTGGCTCACAC